TCCTACATTTTCCTAACATACTGCTTAAGCTTTCTCTCTCCCAGCCTGCCTTGGAACATTTCCATAGCTACTGGTCCAGCTTACCAGGAAAGGGACAAAGGACAGGGGGCTGTAGATCCCCTGCCCCAGACTCCAGGGTAGGAGATGGAGGGACTTTGCAGAATGCAGAGCCCTGGGCCCTCCCTCAGAGAGTCTGGTTCAACAAGCCTGGGGTGGCTCAGAAGTTTGCATTTTCAACAAGCTCCCCAGGTCGTTCCCATGCACATTAAAATTTAAAAACCGCTAGTAGAAGGCCAAGGGCATCAGAGTATATCAGAATTCCTAAGTTTGGGGCCCGGCTCCACCTGTCACAAGCTGGCTGACCTGAAATAATTCACCGGCTCCCTTACAGCCTCAGTTTCCTCATCTTCACAATGGGAGTAAGAGAGGTCCTGCGAGACTCACTGGTTTGCCAAAAATTTCATCAGAGAATGGATGTTCTGATAGGCTGAAAAATGGCCCTCCCACACGACGTCCACATGCCAATCCCTGGGACCTGTGAGTGTCACCTTAGATGGAAACAGAGTCTCTGCAGATGTGATCAAGTTAAGCATTTTAAGGATTATGAGACGGGGAGATTATCCTGGATTATCTGGGTGGGCCCTAAGTGCAATCACAAGGGTCTTACAAGAGAGAGGCAGAGGGAGAAGACGATTGAAGACAGGCAGAGATTGGAGTCCCAGGAAACTAATATGATGTGTAAGCTCCAAGTGCCATAGAAATATTTAATGTTCTTATTACTTAGAATATAGGTGTTAACTGCTTATTTCGCAAATTGCTCCCATCTACACCTGGTGTTAAAGACGGGGTACTGGGCCTCGTGTGGCTGCTCCTGACACAAACTTCTGTGTCTATAAATAGCTTCTTCAAGGACACGTGCCTTTTGGATATTTTGAAGGCTTCCAACAGAACAAGGTATGAGTTAAACCAAAGCAGACAAGCTTCACTACCACCATCTTTGAAATTTGTCTTTCTGATCAAATGGGATGGGAAAGCACCTGAGTGGAGCCGCAGACGTGTGAAGAATAGAGCGCTGTTTTTTAAGCGGTGTCTTGAACGTATTTGTACACTGCCCCACAAACACTTACTGCGGGATTGTGCGGTGCTAAATCCTGTAGGACCCATAAAAAGCTTAAGCCTCTTAGAAATAAGACCTTACTAATAGTAAGTCCTGATTTCACACAGTTCCTGTTATTCCAGGAGCTCAGGGAGCTTTTCTTGATTTTCTCTACTTTATTCATATTCCTGGGAGGCGACATATGCATTTTAAAGAGCAGAAAACAAGTGTTTGGCCATTTCTTCCCCGTCTTGCACTGATGGCTGCTGGAGCTCCCGTTCTCACCCCTCCCTCCTGCGCCTCCGTGCTGTGCTCTGTCTCACTCCATTGGACTAAATGACATTCAGCCCCTGAGTGGTGCTTCAGAGGGCTTGGCCATCATCTTCCAATTCCCCTGCTCTCGGTCACTGTCCCCACTCCCACCCTTGGGCACCAGTTCATTGGAGGGTGGCTGTAACTTGTTTCCTGGTCTCTGCCCCGCCCCAGTGTCACATTTGAGCTGTGTTGTCTGCACAGGCCATGCTGCCCATCAAGGTTCCCCCTCTGTGATTGCCTGGCTGGGCCCGTGTTGGTGGCATGGAAAGGACAAGGGTCACTGCACCTGAACCTTGGCCAGGAGTGGATGGAGCAGACCATAAATGGCCACAGTCACCCTGCTCACCCCAGTTCTGTTTTGAGCATTCTTCAGTGCCAGGCACTGTGCCGGCCACTCTGCATACCTCCCCTCATTTCACCCTGGCAACCACCTCATGGCATAGTTCCTACTGTCCCCATTTTACAGATGAGGAAACAGTGGCTCAGAAGTTACACAACTTGTCCATAGTCACACAGATGACAAGAAGCAGAGCAAGGGGACGAGCGTCTGACTGTGGGCCCAGCAGATGTAGGGGAGCGCAGTCTGCTTCAATAGAAGCCTTATGTCCAAATTGAAATTTGGACAAAATTGAAATTGAAACTAAGTTCCCAGAGAAGAAAAGTACAGAAGAGCAAAAGTCCAGGGAGGCAGAGAATCACAGAAGAGAAGAATGAGGGAGTTTTCCGGTGAGGTTAGCAGCTGTGGCTGTCCCAGCTGGGAGAGATTCAGGAGAAACTGCTGGCCTAGCCTAGAAAAAGGCCACCACGGTTTTAGAAAGGGAACCCCATGTGTGTTCTGTACATTACCTGCATTACCTCAGTGGCTGTCACGGAATTTTCAGTTTTTAAAAATTGATTGTAATGTTAATTCTAACCTTACAGCCAGGGGGGTCATAGACGAAATATTTAGCAGCCTGAACAGCACGGGCAACGGCCAGTCAGAAGGGACACTGGGCGTGACGGAGCATGCAGGTCCTGCTGGTGGCTCCATGACACTATGAGAAAGAGGAAAGTCAAAGTCGAAAGTGAAGGGGGACTCGACGTCAGGTTTCCCAGAGATCAGGAATCGGTTCAGAGAAGCGTCAGTGTTGGGAGAGGGGTTGGAGGGGAAGAGACGAGGCCAGGTTGGCTGTCATAGGTCCTGCAGTGTTTCTCAAGCGTGGGCCTCAGACCATCCCATGAGTTTCCTGGGACCTTGTTAAAAGGGAAATTCTGGGCCTCCTCCAAGCCTGACTCTGCATGTCCGGGGCTGGTGGCAGAAATCTGCGAGGTTACCAAGCCCCCTTGACTCTGCTGTATTGTAGCGTTTGGAAACTAGCGCCCTTAATAAGCCCAAAATAAGGCCACCCCCACCCCCCACCCCGCTTCCTCATCCTCTGCTTGTTCCTTGACAATACCGCGGGGGGGCCCCCCCTCCATCCCCAAAGCAGCTCTCCTGGGTCGTTTGGCCTGAGGCGCTGGAGGAAGCAGGGAGCAGGGATAAAGCCAGGAGAAGGTTTTAGGGCACAGCTCCTGCTCAGAGGCCTGCAGGGGACGCCCAGAGGGTTGAGAGCTGGGTGACCCCTGCAGGACCCTGGGCCAGTATGTAACATTTGTGGGTCTCCGTGTCTTTCTCTGTACAATGAGAATAACAATCTCTGTCTAATTTAGAGTCATCTTAAGACATAAAAGAGATGATGTATGTAAAATGCTTAGAATAGTACCTGACATATGTAAGTTTCTAAACGTCCGCTGCTATTAGCGTGTAAACTCCAGAGCCAGCGAGCATGAAGTGTGGCCATCATTCTCCCGGCATACACAGGAGTCTGCCCAGTCGCTAAATGCTAGGGGCAAAGTCTTTGTTTGACTGTTTCTCCCTCTTGATTACTGGCCTCTTTTTTTTCAGTCTTATTTTAATTATTCTAAAATATGTGCACTCTGCATGCACACAGGTGGTCTTCATCATATTTGAAGTAGACACAATGTAAATTAAAAAATTAAGCACCTTAGTGAATGAAGACTGGGCTGCTTATTTTACGCATGGGAAAACCAAACATAAGAGAAGTTAAATGTCCCCCTCAAAGGTCACACCGCCGGTTATAGATAGATCTGCAGTTAGAACCCCTATCGCTGTGCGTCCCCTTCTAGCGGACGGACACCCTGACCACGCCTGGCTTTGCCGTGGGGACTGCAGCCTGGGGACATCCTGTCGGTGGTCAAGAGCAGCAGTGCATCCAAATTTAGCATCAGCCAAACTTCGCTTCTGCCTAAGTCTGTGTTCTAGCCTTTGGGGGCCTAGGAAGGTCATGTAGCCAAAGGCCGACTGTATCGTTGTTTCTGGAACTCCTGAATCTGGGTCTAATCAATGATCTTGTGATCACGTGGATTACCACCATGCCCCTTCTGCACAACCACATCAACAATGCAAGCAACGCTGTTTGAATTTATTGCCACTAACAGAATATCCGCTTCCAAGTTTATGTACGCATGTCAGATGTAACTTGGAAGGAAAGATCTCTTTATCTGCTTTGCGTGTTGAGATCCTATCAGTGAGCAGAAAATAAATGTATATTGATTATTGCAAGAACAAAACACTATAATAATTAATGATGTTTGTGGAAGTTGCTAATTTTCATTCAGAAAAAGTTATTAACAATTTTTAATTAAATAGGGAAACAGATTGACAATTGATACTGAATATTATGAGTGTGCACTAACTAGATAATTTTAGGAATAACAGTCTATCCTTTCTGAGCCAACCAACGTTTATAAAAATTAAATAATAATACAAGGAGAATAGTGGAGAATAGATTTTATATTAAGTCTAATCTTTTTAGAGCTGTTTGTGGTACTAAATTTATAACATTAAACAAAATAACCTATAAGAATTATATTTCTCTTTTAGTAATTTAACTCCACTTAGTCTGTGATTCTTGCTTCTCTGTGGGACTTAGTTGAAATTAAGTCCTAATTAGAATTGCAAATATGCGGAATGGTGATGGCAGAAGGAATCCAGCAGCTGAGAATGCTGAGTAAGACTTCCTGAACTGAAATGGCGAACTTTAAAAATTTACTCAAATTTTTAACAATAAAATGGGCTTACATTTTTAATCAAATTTCAGATTTGTTCTGGTTCCCCAGAAGGCATTCTAGGGTGGTGCTCTATGCTCTGACATTGGCTTTCGCTCAGTTTCAGTGTTCTCCTAACAGCCTGTCAGGCTGTGTGTGTTTGGTGCAGCCCTGGACGTAAAAGGGAGCAGCAGCTTCAATGAATCCCCTTCATTTTCTCGTCCTTTCCGTCCTCTGCTCACCCAGCAGGGAGGGGCTGAGAAGGGCCATGGGGTCCGGTCTTGTGTGGACAGGAAAGGTGAGCAGGATTGGAAATCACATCTCCCGAGTGTGCTCTGGGAGGCAAACCAGAGCCGGGCCCTGGGAGGCGTGGTTCCCAGGACGTGTCTGTCCCAGGGCTTTGCTAGAGCAGGGGATCTGGGGACACCAAGTCCCAGCGCCCAAAGGTGAGGAGCACAGCGAGTCACCTCTCACGCGCATTTCTCTCTCTCCTTCCGGATAGTTTGTGAAGTTTGCCAACATCGAGGAGGACACCCCTTCCTACCATCGCAGCTATGACTTCTTTGTGTCCCGCTTCAGTGAAATGTGCCACTGCAGCCATGATGACTTGGAAATCAAGACGAAGTGAGTACAGGGGAAGCTGAGGGGCGCACAGCAAATGACAGAGGCATTGGTGGGTCTTAGGGAGCTCCCGGCCTGGGCTGCATGTCTGAGTCCATTGGCGTTTACCTCTGTTTGATGATGCTGGGAGGAAAGAGCACCTGGTGGGACTTAGGAGGGCAAGCAGGCAGAGCTGGGCTCCCCACACATGCTTTCTAAAGGAACAGCCTCTGAGGGCAGAAAACAGGGCAAGATGTAAGGGAATGGTCCTGTGAGCCCAATTTGAAAGCCACACATGCACACACCCATGCTGTCTTTTGTTCAGAAGTGCGTGCATTTATACGCCCCAAAAACACACCTACTCACTGTTATCCATCAAAATATATACCCAATAAAAAGCCAAAGGCTTCACATTATAGGCTGATCCCTGCTGCCCTCCTGACTTCATCGCCTCCACTTTTCCCTCACTCAGTCCCCTCCAGCCACGCAGGCCTCCTTGCTGGCCCACAAACACACCAAGGTCATTCCTGCCACAGGGCTTTTGCACAGTCTGTTCCTGTGCCTGGAATGCTTCCTCCATGGATCTGCATAGCTCACTCCTTCACCTCCTTTAAGCCTTTGCTCAAATGTCCCCTTGACAGCAATTCCTTCCCCGAACATCCCTCTTCCCTCTCCATGCTCTGTTGTTTTTTCCCCATAACACACATCCTCTTCAAACACGTTCATAATTTACCTACTATGTTTCTATACCTTGTCGTCTCTCCCCACTAGAATGTAAGCTCTGTGAGAGCAGCAATCATCGTCTTGTCCACTGATGCTAAATGGAGCTAAAACAGTGCCTGGAGAGAGGAGGCACTCAATAAATATTTGTTGAGTGAATGAATGAACACTTTCAGATAAACATCTTGAATTACAGAATACACTTCTACCCACATACTCAAACTTATAAAAATACTTAGCTCACAGAAATACACTCATCGATATAGAAATAAAACTCCTCAAATAAAATCACAAAGAAATGTACAGAAACCTGTGCAGATAAAGCCCAACACACAGCGCCAGCCTGACGAAGCAGTAGGTGGTGAGGAGGCATAAGCAGGTGTTTGTGCCCAGCATTGTCCTTGGAACAATAAGGTGCAAAAGGATGAGAAGTCAGTCCCTGCCTGCAGAGTGTGTTCTCAGCATGGGGAAGCCATATGAAACTAAGGACTGTGTTCAAAGGGAAAAGAAGGATGGAGGGAGACAGGAGGAGGGCTAGGCTGTCCATACCAACCAAAGCTGCGGGAGGAGTCGGGGAAGGAAGAGGCTGGGGGCCCACCGTTGACCAGTTCTCCATTGGTTTGTTCCGGAAGTCAGCTGATAGCTCCCTCGTTCATCATATCAGCACCTCACAGGGGCCTGAAGTGCCACATTTGTGCAACAGCAGAGTCAAAGATGCCTGTGCGCCCCCAGCAGCTTGCTCACCAGAGCTGATGGTCTGGGTTGGATGAACAGGAAGTGATCCCTCCATCCCCCAGGTTGCCGGTTCCCAAAGCTCCCCAGCCGGTGGAATGACTCCGGGCAGGTCCTCGAGTGACTGGTCGAGAGTGGCTCAGCCTCCCCAGTCACCCATCCCCTGAACCAGTCATGGGCTCCCTGGGGCTGTGTTGCCCCAGCACCTCTGATGAGGGCAGTGGGGGCCACAGGAGGCAGGAGCCCCTTGTCCTCTCCCAGCACTGGCTGCCACAGGAGCCACCTCACTCCAAAATGGCTATGAGAGACAAGGGGCTGGGGCAGTTGGGGCCCATCCACAAGCAGGCGTTGGGGGGGTTGCAGGTCTGTAACCAGGTGTGGCTGTACCAGGAGCTGACCATTCAGGCAGTGCCAAGCCTTCAGGAGGGGGGACGGAGGGGACACTCCTCATGCCACTACACACACACTCACACACGCACCAAATCACACATGCACAGTCACACACAACCACACACACACACCAAATCACACATGCACAGTCACACACAACCACACACACTCACACACACACACACACAATCCACAGTGGGAGGCGGAGCAGGCGCAGAAGCAACACGGTCAGGACTGCCTTCTGACGGTGCTGGGCATGCACTGAACACCTGGAGGAGGGTTGCTGAGGTTGCTCAACGGGGTAGTGCCATCAACACCCACAGACGGGCACCTGCATCCATGACTGGAGGGCCTGCCGGGGTGAGAGGAGTGTGCCTCAGTCAGCCTTCCTTTTGTCGTCTCTCTCTTCCAGAACCTCCCTGCACCCCTTTGCCCTGAGGTCTCCCCATTGTTTATTCGCAGCCTTTGCAGAGCCCAGAGCCGCTTTCCAAGAACTACCCTTGGGTCTTATAAATAGGGGTGCGTGTGTGTTTGTGTGCATGTGCACGTAGTCCCTTGGGGTTCAGAGAATTCCCAGGTTGCTTGCACGTGGGTGGGCCTCCCCTGAGCCCATTAGAAGGAGCAGTTAGAGGAGCAGGCCTCTCCCCAGGTCTGATCTTTCAGAATTTACTCTGAAAGCGTCAGTCAGCCTGGAATGAAGTGTGTACGTATGTGGAAGGTAGTCTGGGGAGATGGAAGGAATGAAGAACACAATTCACAGTCACGCATGAGGACGCCCTGGGTAGAAAATTTCCCATCCCCGGGCCTGGTTTCTTGCCAGCCAGACTCCCTTGGGTGGGACACACGAGTCCAGCATGTTTGGGATATATTTCTGTTGTGCATTAGGGAGGGCCTTTCAACCCAGAGCCAAGAATAGTGACTGGAACAGTATTCCAGTTACTTTGTGCTCAAGTCTGGACAGCCTCTGGCTCAGGGTCTTGACTAGGGGTCAAGATCAAAGCAGCTGAGTGTCTCCCCAGGGGAATCCTTGCCCATGGTCCCGGCCCGGACGGGTCGTGAGCCAGCGTATCCTGGTGCTATTAGGCATCTCCTGCCTCCCAGTTACGGTCACCAGGTAAGGCCCAGGGTTACCCTGGTAACTGCACTTCAAACTGAAGCTGAAAATACAAATGGCAACTAAATATTTAGAAAGACTGCTCAACTCCAACAGTCATCAAAAGGACATGAACTGAAATAGCTAGAAGATGTGAGGATCCTTCTGAGCTATGAAATTAGAGCAGATGTTTAAAATGAGGTCCCCCGTGCTGAGGAGGAACGCTGAGAATGGCATTCTCCGGCAGCCTGCACGTTGGGGGGTTGGGGGGGGAGAGTAATTTGGCGATATTGGGAGCCTTTCATTTCTTACCTCCTGATTCAGTAATTCCACTCATGGAATGACTTGAAATATAGTAAAATATTTTATACAGTGATGTCCATCGTAGCATTATTATAGTAGCAAAAAATTTAGAAACAACTTAAATGACCAATAGGGGACTAGTTTAGAAAGTTCTCATGACAGTACCTCAGACGTGTTTATGAAGAGTTAATGATATAGGAAAATGCTCATGATAGGATGTTATGGGGGAAAAAAACAAAATAAATTATATATGCAATACGTTCTTAATTCTGTTACCTATTATGCACAGAAGAAAAGAAAGACACCAAAATGCCAGTAACAGTTATCTTTGATGATGGTAGGGCTAAATCTTCTTCATACTTTTCTGTAATTAGCATGTATTACTTTATAACCAGAAAAAAAGTTTGATTAGAAACAGAAAAAAACGACGTTCAGGCTGAAATAGACGTCCGGTAAAGAGGCCCCCTCCCGCAGGGACCCTGGGTCAGTGCAGTAGGGACTCAGGAGGTGTGAATGGATGCCCTCTGCGCTGTCACTCAATTCCCCCTCTGGTTTCTCAGCCAGCTTAGCTGCAGCCGAAACCCCTTTGTGCCCGGAGAGCCTGGCCGCTCTGTGCCTCTCCTTCCAGATCCCCTCTTTCTGTAAATTGCTCATAGCCCTGGATTCTGCCTCATCAGTTCTTGACAGCGTTTTGAGCTTTTATATCTTGGGCTCAAGCTGGAACAAACCCAGCTGGGCACTAAAGAGGAGAAGCCTGGAGCAACTGGCACGCTAAGGATGAAGCCCAGGTGGTAGCGGGGCAAGGGCCATCTGGGGCTCTCCCATACGGGCCAGAAGACACAGCTTCCTGTGCTCACATCCACCCGCACAAGAAGCCAGCCAGCCTGGAGGCCAGATCACAAGAAGAGCAGACGGTGGACTCCATTCTGCCTTTTGATGGACAGACGCATCCCTAACCCCCACACTGTGCTCCTCTCCTTGCCACAGAAGCTGGACTTCTCAGGCCCTGAGGATGTCATGGCCCCGTTTCAACCTTTTCCTTACAGAATCCGAATGTCGGGCATCAAAGGTCTGCAAGGGGTGGTGAGGAAGACAGTGAATGACGAATTGCAGGCCAATATCTGGGACCCACAGCACATGGACAAGATCGTGCCATCGCTGCTTTTCAATCTGCAGCACGTGGAGGAGGCGGAGAGGTAAGCAGGCGAGGGTGGGCGCTTGGACAGCAGACATGGGCAGCCCTCCCAGGCTGCCTTCCCCCGCTGCTTGGGAATCACATGGCTTGGGCTGCTTGGTAAAACCCAGCTACAAGGCCAGAGATCTTGGCTTTTGTGGCCTGTTCTGCAGTGAGTCCAAGGCTGGCTCCCTAGGAGCCTTGGGTCTGGACTCCTGCCAGCCCGCTGTGTCCCTGAAGGTCTGCATTCTTGAAGGAAGGGCAGTAACCACGCTGGGCTCCCTGGGGGTAGGTGTGCGTGCTGGTAAGAACACAGAGAACCAAGGGTCGGGTTACCTCTGTCTCTTTGGAAACAGCAGGCCAAGGCGGTTTTAAAATGCCTTTCATGGCTCCAATTACTGAGGTCTTTTCCCTCCTCGACCTTGCTTCCTCCCTCACTTCCTAATGGTATTTCAGGCCCTTAAAACATGCCTGCTGGACCAGCAGTCACTTGACACAAGTTGCAGATATTGGGTTTTAATCTGGGAGCCCCCAGATGTGGGATGCTGCCCCTCGCTCTCCTCCTCTGTGAAATGGACTGGAGGGAATGTTGCTGCCCACCTCGGGTGGGCACCACACTGCTTGAACATACTGGGTTCCCCACTTTCTGTCAGTGGAACCTGTGCTGCTGGAGATGGGGGGTAAGTGTGCCCTCTGGTGGCCGATCCTGGAATAGCACCTCCCTGACTAGCTCAGGCAGTGGTCTATGGTGGTCTCAGGGCTGGGAGTCCTGGGCTCCTTCTGCTGTCCAGATCTGGGCCCACTCCCTTGACTCAGGTACCACTGAGTCACACCTGAGCCAACCACCGTGCCTCTCCTTTCTCTCTATTTTTCCTCTCTCTCCTTCTTTCTCTCACTTTCGTTTGCTTTCTCCTACTCTGTCTGCCTCCCTCTCTTCATATCCAAAGACTTGGGGGCACGGAGACACTCATGGTCTGTCCCTCACCAGGCCCAAGGGTATCTGCCCCTCCCACAGAGGCACATCAGGCCTATCCTTAAGGATTTCCAGACAAAGAACTTTATCCCTTCTCCCAGTCTTCCTCCACTCTGGGCTTCTTCACAGGGATGTCTCCCCTGTGACCCAGGCAGCCTCTCTCAAATTCCTGCTTGTCCTACTCTCACCGTTTGCATGATGAAGCGCAGAAACCCAGGCGTTCACAAAGCCTGCCTCCCAGCTTTGCATTCTGTCCTTCACCACGTGGCTGTGTGTTTCCACAGCCGCTCTCCCTCGCCCCTCCAAGCACCAGAGAAGGAAAAGGAGAATCCGGCAGAGCTGGCCGAGAGATGCCTTCGGGAACTACTGGGCCGGGCTGCCTTTGGCAACATCAAAAACGCCATCAAGCCTGTTCTCATGTGAGTACTCTCCCCCCACCCCCACACCCCCCAGCCTTCAGCTTTGAAGTGTTTCAAATCCCGGCATCTCCTTGCTGACTTGGGAGAAGGGAAGGAGGTGTTACAGTTGTGGGGCTGTGGCCAAGTCAGTCCCTTCTCTGTGCCTGTGTTCCCTGAATTGTGACAGCAAAAGCTGCCACACACGGCCAAGTGCAGTTTTCAGGAGAGCAGTTGGTAGGAGGGCCCCCGAAGCTGAAGGAAGGTGCCCGATACATTTCTGAGTCCACACTACAGAGCCCTGTTCCTTGACCTCCCTCCAACTCAGGGGCTGGGACTGCCCTGGAGTCCCTGGTGCCTCTCTTCTCTCAGCTGCACCTGTAAGCCCTGCCTGCCTTGCCTGGGAGCCATGCGAGGGGCTGAGTCTCTCGGGAGGTGTCACTCTGCCACCGAGCCCTCCTCCCTAACGCCACTTTGCATTTCACAGCCATTCCCCCATACTCTCTCCCTCGCAGCCATCTGGATAACCATTCTCTCTGGGAGCCCAAGGTGTTCGCCATCCGCTGCTTTAAGATCATCATGTACTCCATTCAGGTACAGTGGCTGCCCTGCTCCACCTGTCCCCTGGCCAAGGGCACTTCTGAGAGCAGGCCAGGGCACTTACGGAGAAAGCCAGCTGTCTTCTGTGACTTCTCCGAAGCCCCTAGTTATCTAAACCAGTGCTGCTTAACCTGGCTGTGGAGAAGGACCAGTTTAGTTTTATTTCTAATACGTCACACACCAATACTTTATAAAACACAATTAAAAAGAACCCCTAGATAAAGCAAATGAAAAATCCATGCAAAATACAAGCCACAGACCATGCTTGGCTGCCACGACATTGTCAAATTGCTTACTTAAACCTTTACTCTCAATTTCTGTACTTACCTCAATGTAAACGGCATCAGACAGATCTTAAACTGGTCCTATACCCTGAGTCACACTTTGAACAGCACTTGCCTCAGCCATGTGGCTTCTCCTGGCCCTTACTGTAAGACCTGGAACCTGGGAAAAAATGAAAAGGAAGACAATACTTTAAAATTGACTTTTGACCGATTTGAAGTGAAAGGGCCCGGGAAAAGGTGGAAATCAAGGTCTCCATTGGGATTTGGTTCTACTCCTTGTTGGACCAAGGTTGGGGGTGGGGCTTAGGAAAAGGAACCAGGGTATCTGGGCCCCACCTCCAGTGAGCACTGACCTTGGACCTCACTTTTGTCCCCACGGGCCTTGGGGTCCCAGTCGAGGGCTGCCCTAGCTCCGAGGCCATGTGGGGGTTGCTGTTTGGGGACCAGCACCTCTTCCTCCCCCCAGCCGCAGCACTCCCACCTGGTTATCCAGCAGCTCCTGAGCCACCTGGATGCCAACAGCCGCAGCGCAGCCACGGTGCGGGCAGGCATCGTGGAGGTCCTGTCGGAAGCTGCAGTCATCGCTGCCACTGGCTCCGTCGGTGAGGGGGCCCTGTGGGAAGGAGTGGGAGCTGGGAACCCCACCAAGGACAAAGAACTGCCCTTAGCGGGAGGCTGCCTGCCCTTCCAGAAAAGGACAAGGCACTGTAGGGAGGTCTCAGACCCCGTTTTCCTCGGGAGGAGACATCAGTGGGGGAAGGTGGGGGCAGAGGAAGCCTCAGGCTGGGAGTGGGCCCGGGCTTGCGCGGTGAGGCAGGGCAGGGGGGAAGGAGCGAGGGGGCCAGCCCTGGATTTCGGGTCTCCCTCCTTGCTGCGCTCAGGGCCCACGGTACTGGAGATGTTCAACACTCTGCTGAGGCAGCTGCGGCTCAGCATCGACTACGCGCTGACCGGGAGCTACGACGGAGCCATCAGCCTGGGCACCAAGATCATCAAGGAGCATGAAGAGCGCATGTTCCAGGAGGCAGTCATCAAGACCATAGGTGGGCCCGGGGAGGGGCGGGGCCCGGGGAGGGGCGAGGCCCACGAGGACGTCAGTCCAGGGCATTGTAGGATTGTCGTTCACTCCTATCATGTTATTCACTGACGTTGGGGAAAATGGAGTCAGTCCACGGTGCGCACCTCTCACAGACTGGCCTGGGTCGGGCCTGGGTGAGAGCCCAGAACAATCTACGTGGGTTCCTCAGCCTGAGACTTCAGATCAAAGGCTAAGAGAGGCGAACTGTTCCTGCACCCCAGTGATGCTTCAACGTTTGAGCGGCTGGAGGGGAGGTGGGGAGTGAGGAAGAGAAAAGGAAGGAGAAAGGGAGACAGCTGTGGAGAAAATGTATATGCACACGGACGTGGAGGAGAACTAAGAGCCATCTCATAAGCATGTTGGGGCTCATCACCTTCAGAGCCTTCCTGCCCTAACCGTTGGAACTTCCCCTCAGCTCCGAGAAGGAGGCAGGGCAGGAACCAGCCCCAGTTCATAGATGAAACCACGGAGGTTCACGGAAGTGGCTCGCACGAGCAGAGCAGCCCGTCAAAGAGCCTAGACAGGCACAGGGGCCGCTGCCCTCATCCCAGGGCCCAGAGTTCTCCATCCGGAGACCTAACCACAGCCTCTAGAGTGGCAAGTGAGGGAACTGGAGCCTGGAGCGCCCCCTGGTTTCCTCCCTCCGCGTCTTGTCTCCCTAGGGAAGCAGCCTGCACTCTCCGCTGTAGTTTGCTCAGCTGAAGGGCTGAGCTGGGAGAGCCCCGCAGCCCTTGGCCTCACCTGAGCCCTCCCTCTCCGCTGTCTTTCCCACCCCCCATCCCCCCGCAGGCTCGTTTGCCAGCACGTTGCCCACTTATCAGCGCTCTGAGGTGATCCTCTTCATCATGAGCAAGGTCCCACTGCCTTCCCTGCATCACCCCATGGAGACGGGGAGGACCGGGTGAGTGCACCATGCCCTCCGCCCCTCTTCTCTCCCAGTGTAGATTCCACCCCGGCTTCCCTTCCCCATGTTTTTCGGCTCTCCCCTTTCTCCTCACTAACTGTCCTGGTTCTGCCCTCACTTCTCGTTTTCTAGTCTCAAATCCCTCAGCAGCCTTCAGTGGGGCCCTTGGATCCCACAGCAGTTCCTCTGGCTGTCCCACCAATAACTCCCTCCCGCTGTGGGGGAGCCATTAATTCCCTGCTCTGCTTCCGGGCTTTGGAAGTCTCTGTCCTGGGTACCCCAGTAAGATGAGCCTGGTGGAGAATCTAACCACGAGGGAGAACTGGGCAGGCAAGTGCAGCATCTCCACCCCTATCACCACCCTGGTGAGTGTTTGTGTCTCTGGTCTACAGGGAGAATAGGAACCGGCTGACCCAGATTATGCTGCTGAAATCGCTCCTTCAGGTGAGCCTCTCCTGTCCCCATTCCTGCTCTGCCTCTGCAAGAGGCAGCTCCTTCCAAGGCACCAAGAGAAGACTGCCACATACAGTCATGCAGGTTGCACACTGCACAACTATGCCCAGCCAAAGGGGTGAGGAGGGGGCTGAAAGCTAGCCTGTGTTCCACTCACGAGTCAGGCCGGGCACCCGCAGAGCAGGGTCATCCAGAGCAGGCAGGACACCTGTTTCTAATTTCCACAAAGGTTTCTTATCAGCTACTGATAGCCTTGTCACTCAAGCATCATCTCTGTATTGAGATGGAGTCTATTGGTTCCTGCCCTTTCCCCTCCAAGGGTCTCCCCAGGTCCTTCCCCTGCTGTTTCCACCTTGGCACTTGTGCCCACCTCAGTCCCCCAGCCACCACCTTTCCCTTCATCAGTGTTTTACATTCCTCTTCTTTACATCTTCTCAGCCATCCCTGGAGCCTAGATTCATTGTTCTCAAACGCCATTCCCATGACCAACTGTTAAAATACCTGGATTCCCTAGAGATTTTGAGCTGTCAGTCTGAGCAGGGTCCTGGAACTGTATTTGTAACAAGCTCCCCAGGTATTCTTACGCCTAAACGCTGGACATCTCACAACTGAATTATTCTCATAGTCACTCTTGTCTCCATCTCTCCTCACCTCTCATAAATACAACCCCTGGAAGAATTTTCTAGAAATGCCATTCCCCACATGTTGCTCCTCATTAAAGAGTAGGTCTTAGTTTCCAATTTACATCCATCCAGATTTCAAATTTCTCAGAATGAAGTTGGAAGGTCCCCAATCCCCTTGTGCCCTCCCTAGACCCCCCCGACCTCAGCCCTCAGCCCCTGTCTCTGTTCTAGCCACACCAGTCTGCACAGGCCCCTACTCCCACTCATGCCTTCCTTTCCCTCTGCCCAGCCCACGCCTTTCATGTCTCTATTTTTATAAAGACTTTTGGTGATGACACTGCCCCCTTCCGGTTACCTCCTTGGTCTATGGACTCCTGCCATTTCTTCGCTGAGTTTATCCTCATTAATTTGTATGCAGCCTCTTATCAAGGTGACAGTTTGGAACACCCTCAGATACATCCCCCTTTAGTGAACACTGATATTTACTATTGATGCCACCAGGCTTTGCTGGATCCTCGAGGGCCTGCTGGATCATCAAAGGCATTGTTTTGCAATGTGGACTCAATAGTAAATATGTTTTGCTGCTTTTGACTGCTTTGCCCACATCACGTGTGATGTGTCTATTTATGACTACTTTAATCAGAAGTCCCCCATTGTGGCCGTGCCAGAAGAAATGTAACCAAATGCTGTGTGTGCTCTTGGGTTGTTGCTATGTGTGTGGTTCTGATTCCTCAGCCCAGCTGTAAGTGCATCCACTGTTCCTCATTTCTTTGTGACTGTCCATACTCTTAGGGAAGCATTGTGTTCGCGGTGAGTGTTCATCGGTTGTGCCCTAACGGGTTACCTGATGCCCAACGTTAGGTTCAGAGGCTTCCTGGCTCCTGCTCCCCTCTAGTGTTCACCCCTGGCTTGCTTTTAGCAACTTAATGTCCCTGTACCCTGTCCGCATCCACCCACAAGTCTACTGAGCTGAGCCAAGCAGGTTGCCCATGTGGATGTTGGAGTGTTCCAAAAAGTTGCCTAAGGCATCCCTAACCTAGGCTGGAGGGTAGGGAGAGCTGGAGTGGGGGATGTCGAGAGAGGATGGGTGCCTCAGACCCAGCTTCTGCTGGCTGCTGCTCCTTCTCCTCACTGCACCTGAGAGGGCCAGAGTTCCTAAGCACTGCCATCCTGGGCTCCCTGGCAGGTATCCACAGGTTTCCAGTGCAACAACATGATGTCAGCCCTGCCCAGCAACTTTCTTGACCGCCTTCTCTCCACTGCCCTCATGGAGGATGCAGAGATCCGCCTCTTCGTTCTAGAGATTCTCATCAGTTTCCTTGATCGTCATGGCAACCGCCACAAGTTCTCTACCATCAGGTGAGCTTGGGGTCTCCCCTCCGGGAGAAAACTCCCAATAGGGCCTCACACCCAGGTGGGAGGACAATTCAGATATTCAGTGAAACTCACTAGGGAGCTAATCACGGACACTGACAGTCCTGCCGGGGAGGAGGGACTGGAAGGGCACTTGTGCCTGGGGGGCAGGGGCTGGATTGGAGATTTGGGAGATAAAGAGCAGCTTCTAAAGGGAGTTTTCAGGTGGGAAGGAAGGAAGGGGATGCAGGGTTATCAGTAGAGACTGAGGGGATTTGAGGGGAAGAAGTGGGGGAAGAGAATAATCTGGATCAGTATTTAAGAAAAAAGGACAAGCAAAAGTGGGCAGGACATAGAGGCTGAGAACTCTAGAGGAAGTGGAGATGGGGCTAAGAAGCAGGGCTGGTGGAGCCCTGGGAGGCTTTGGTACAACTAACGACATTGGGATAAAGCCCAATGACACCACGAGCTCTGACTGGCCTCGTAAAGGGCTAAGGTGGCCCCTTGAATCCCCTCCCAGTACCCTCAGTGACATCTCTGTCCTGAAGCTGAAAGTGGACAAGTGCTCCCGGCAGGACACCGTCTTCATGAAGAAGGTTAGCAAGCGCGACCTCAAGACACAGCAAACCCCTGGTGGGCCAGGCCTGGTGGACCCTGACCTTCCAGCCCCCATGTCACCACTGACCATTGCCCCCTGAGCCTGCCTCCTCCCTCTTTGACTGTGCTTAGTCAGATCATCAGCCAACCCCTCTGGGGAGTCAAGCCCCCAGGGTCACACTCACCGCTGAGGCCAGAGTGAGGACCACCCCTGGTGAGCCAGTCCAGGGCCACTGATTGTGTTCTCCTAAAACTGGATTTGAGCAGAAGTTTTTGTTGCCGGTTTCCCTGGACCCGCCCTTCACTAAACACGTACTCCTGAGTGTGTTCGCTTCCTCTGGGGTCTGCTCTAAAGGCATCCTCTCCCTGAGGGTGGAGGTGGGGTGCTCACAGCTGTCCCACTCCCTTCAGATTGGTCTTCCCATTCTCTTTGCCCCTCCTGTCCCCCACCCCTGGCCACTGTGGCCTTGCTCCACCCTTACCCCATCCCCAGCACTCCCAGCAGCTCTACAGACACATCTACCTGACCTGTAAGGAGGAAACAAACATACAGAAGCACTATGAAGCACTATACAGCTTGCTGGCGCTCATCAGCATCGAGCTGGCCAACGAGGAGGTGGTGGTAGACCTCATCCGCCTGGTGCTGGCTGTTCAGGTGGGGCCTGCTGTGGGTAGGACATTGGGTTGGAATCAGGGGGAAGGGAGCTGTTTTGGCCAAGCACTAATGAGAGTGCAAGTAGCAACTGCTTACCAATTATTTTGGAGCCCAGGAATACTGTACCCTTGGTTGGCCATTCCACCAGGGAGACCACACACCGTGATCCTGTTTGGAGAACCACCAAAGAGTGCTTAATTCGTGGCTTCAGCCCATCCTCAGGCTAAAGGAGGCTACGGGGCTAAAACACCCCTTAGCCACTAGTATTTCAAGGCTCTCATAGGGTCTGAATGAGACTCCAAAGATTACCCAGAGGGTGCTCATGAGCCCAGAGTGATCCCAAAACAAACCTGTTCGTCTAAAGATTGTCTGGTTCCCAAAGCTGGCTGTGCTTCAGAATTGCCTTTAGCAGTTATTAAAGATACATATTCCCAGTTCTATCCCCAAGCCTGAGGGCCTGGAGGCTCCACAAGCCTCCCCCGTGACTCTCAGGCAGCCAGTGTGGCACCACATAGGGCTTTAGATGCTGACAGTCTGCCTGGGAGGAAGTCCGCTCCCAAGGACGCAGGGAACCGGGTTGGGTGCTTCAGATCTCAAAGACCAGGGTCTCCGGGCTCCTTAAGCTGGGCGGGCATCAGATCCTGAATGGTAGCAAACCTAGGAAGTCAGTTGGGTAGAGTCTTAGGCCACCTGCTTGACGGTGCCACACCCTGCATGGCCCACCCAGATGGGATGGTTGTCTTCATTCTGGAATTTGAGATTGCTTTGTGTCCCAATCCCCTAGATCTCTGACAATTTTGTCAGTTTAACATATGAGCCCAGCCTAGCAAGCCAGCCCAGTCCTCCAAGCATCACCCAAGGTCTGTGTGAAGGAAACAGCATCCTAGAGGCAGGATTAGTGAGAGAGCGTGGGCAAGTCAAGGTCACTAATGCTGGAACTGCGAAGTGGATAACTGAGGTCAATCGCCTCTCTACTCAAGTATTTGTGAGCCTCCAGCTCATGGATTGTTCTGGGGACAATTCACTTCAGCTTTGATGAGGGTGACTTCTGTCTCCCAGAAAGTTACGGGGCAAATGCTGAAAAAAGGCTTAGTCTAGAGAAGTGGGTAATCTCTAAAGAAGGTTGGGGAGAGGTTGGGTGGAAGGTGGGGCGCCAGTAGAATTAGTCAGTTAAAAACTCCAAAGGCCCCTCTGTGTTGCCACAGGACGTGGCGCAGGTCAACGAAGAGAACTTGCCCGTGTATAACCGCTGTGCCCTCTATGCGCTGGGCGCCGCCTACCTCAACCTCATCAGCCAGCTCACCACGGTGCCTGCCTTCTGCCAGCACATCCATGAGGTGGGTGTCCTCAGGACTCTGGGAGCTCAGGCGTTTCCCCAGAACGACTCTTCCTTCATTGCATGAGCCCTGTGCTTAGTCCTGGCATTGAAGAAAGGGTTGACATGGGGACTGATACTAGTGAGAAGTTTCTGGAGGCAGCATTTCCTCCTGTGTGACATGGCGTAGCAAGGGCGGGGTCAGGCATGGGCAGCATCCTACACCAACTGGCCACCTGCTCCCTGCCCTCCTCTACCTCCTGTCCCGCTCTGCCTCCCCCACTTCCAGAACCACACACACCCCTCAGGTCATGTGGGACTAAAACTGCTTTTAAAAAATTTTTGCTATGAAAGTTTTCCAATATCACAAAGCAGTGTAAGTAGAACGATGAATATCCATATAGCTGTCATGCAGATGAAACAGGAAGATCTTTCCACATTTGGTTCATCTGTCTCCTTTTCTTTTTCTTTTCTTTTTCTGAAATATTTTAAAACAGACCTCAGCTATCAGGTCGTTTTGCGCCTACCTTTATCAGTATGTGTGTCTAAAAAGATATGGAGGGCCAGCCCAGTGGCATAGTGGTTATGTTTGCATGCTCTGCTTCAGTGGCCCAGGTGTTGCGGGTCCTGGGTGTGGACCTACACACCACTCAGCAAGCCATGCTGTGGCAGCATCCCACATACAAAATGGAGGAAGATTGGCAACAGATGTTAGCTCAGGGCCAATCTCCTTCACCAAAAAAAAGGACACTTTCCCACATAACTGCCATGCTATCGACATGCCTAATTAAATTATCAATTATGCCTTGGTGTTGCCTGATACCCAGTCTGTAATCAAATGTTCTCAATTGTTGCAAAAGACATTTTAAAACATACTGAAGTATTTATAGGTGGAATGATATGATGATAGGATTAACTTTAAAATACACTAGCAAAACAAAATAAAACAAAACAAGAAATCCCAGGTCTCAGCCGGCTTGGCCTGGCTCGGGGGGGGCGGGGGGGGAAAGGGTGTTGTATCACTGTGCCAGGACCCTCCCAGCCTCTGGGCTGAGGAGGGAGTGCAGGAGAGGCAATGCCCAGATGTCCTCCTCATTGAAAGTAGTGGTATCATCGCTTTCTTGCCTCCTGCTCGTACTTGCAGGCCAACTATCCTCCTGCTTCTCACCATCTCCATAACTTTCACCTTTCTTGTCAAAAATTTGCAAAGGATGCTGAGGGAAGCTCAACGTGTCACTGTCCATCAGAATGGTTTTGCAATGCACCTGGGTTTGGGGTGACCTGTGCTCCCTTTTTCGTGTTTAAATAGAAGCAGGAATAGGGCACAGGAGCAGGACACTGCAGTCTCTTGGGAGCTAAGTCCTCTGCATTTGGAGGACACCATGCATATGTGTCGTTGGGGATAGCTTGAGCCGTCCTCTTGGGCTTCTCTGGCTGCTCCGAGGGCACTGTTGCTCCCTGAGAAGCCCAGCTGTAGGGTGCTCTGCCAAGGAATCTGTGGGAGGGAGGAAATGCTTAGAGGGGCGGGAGATCTTTCATTTGCCTGTTCCAGCTCCTTCTCCCTGCTGAACCCAGCTCTATCACAATTCCTCCAAACTGCAGGTGATAGAGACCCGGAAGAAAGAGGCTCCGTACATGCTCCCTGAGGACGTGTTTGTGGAGAGGCCCAGGTAGGAGCACACCTGGGCCATGGTCAGGGATACCCGAGGCAGCTGGTGGAGAAGGGGGGCGGTCTGAGGGCGTCTGTGGGCTTGAGGGCGGAAAGTGGACCCTGCCTGTGGCTCAGAAGTGCTGGGTCGAGTTTGACTCCCATCACATGGCCATAATCCACGCCTTGAGCCATGTTGGTGTGTTGTACTGTAGAGTATGTGATGCAACCCCTGGGAACTCTGGCCAAACCCTGGGAATGCATCCTGGAGGAGTCGTTCCTGACAAGACGCTGCCGTCAATCCAAGTGGCATTCTCAGACTGTAGTCTGTGGGCCACTATTGTCTCAGCATCAGAGGAACTCAAGGAAAAGATATTCTGAAAACACAGAACGCCCAACAATGGGAGATGGCTTTACCAATTATGGCCCATCCACACAACAGACAACCGGTAGCCCATCCACAATGTTTTGGAAGAATGGTTAAAGTGAAGAAAATAGATCATGTAGCAGGAATGTGGGGGACGGGGCGATGCTTGTGTGTGTGCATAAATGTATATAACTAAAGGATTTTGCACAAAATGTAAATGTGGTTATTTCTGGAAAGTGGGACTGTGGGTGACTTCTTCCTTTTTCTTCTTTGTTAATTTGTTTAATGAGTGTTGCTTTTATGCTAAGCAAAGGCACGAGGCAATCATCCTAGTTCGCCGCGGTCCTCACTTGCCTCTCCCCTCCTTTGTCTTCCAGGCTGTCTCAGAATCTTGATGGAGTGGTGATTGAGTTCCTCTTCCGCCAGAGCAAGATCAGTGAAGTCCTGGGGGGCAGTGGCTACAATTCAGACAGGCTCTGCCTGCCCTACATCCCTCAGCTGACAGGTACGAGCTCTGCTCAAGGACTCCCCAGTCTGCCTCTGGCTGTCTTGGCCAGGTAAGGCCCTGAGTGTAAGGGACTGGTGGGGTCTTCAGTCACCTTCCATGGTACCTTGGATGTCACACAAGAGCTGAGAGACACAGTGGCCATCTATGGTGAGATCCTCTTGATTTCCCCACCTCTCCTCCTCAGCACAGGGTCCTTGGGAGTAACTGGCCCGTGAGGTAGCCTGCCCTGGGGGTGGGAGAGGCCCCATTGTGCCAGAAAGAGCACAAATGAACTATGGAAGTCGAGACCCAGCTCTCTGTGACTTACTTCCTGAAAACCCTTAGACAAGCCTCTTGGCTCTGAGTTTCCATTTCCTTGACTGTAAAACAGAGATGTTAATGATTCCTGCCCTAGAGGGTTGGTGTGAGAGGTAGGTGAAGTAAGGAAGGCACACGCACGTGGTAAGTGCTACCGGAGTGACAGCCACTAGTGCTGTTAGCAGATGACGCTTACACTGGTCGAGATATGCCTTCTGGTCATGAGCAGCTTCTTTGTGCTCATCAGTGGTTTCAAAATCTTAGCCCTGAAAAGCAAAACTCGCCTCCCTAAGATGGACAGCTGTAGCCTCCGTGTGTGCCCAGCCCCCACAGGACTGCGGGCCAGGGAAAGGCAGAGGGGCTGGGAGGTGGTGCACAGGCCTGATCCTCGCTCGCTCTCTGAGGACTGCGAGTCCAGCTTCTGGGCTTCTCCTTCCCCAGATGAGGACCGCTTATCCAAGAGGAAGAGCATTGGAGAAACCATTTCCCTGCAGGTGGAGGTGGAATCTAGGAACAGCCCAGAGAAGGAGGAGGTGAGTGACCTATACTTGATACACTGTCCTGGTGAAGCCCAGCGTCCCCAGGGGAGGGGACCTGCTCCCACCTCCTCCGCAGTCAGACACTCCAGGCTCCCGGCTCCCTCACCTGCACAACACATTGAAGGCTGAGGGGAAAGTACATTCTCCAGTGAGTCCTGTTTTCTTACTCACTCTCATCACACATATCATAGATATTTCCATCTGGAAACATTATTTGTGTCCCCCGCACACACACACTCCCATGAGGATGTCATAGAAATCATTCCTGAAAGCCTTGCTGGCAGTCGTTACCCATTTATGATGGAGGCAGACATGCTCCGCGTTGGACATTGGGAAGCCTGACAGGAGAGAGGAGGCTGAGAGTAGCTTTCAGCTCAAAGCGCTCTCTCCCTCCCTTCTTCTCTTAAGGGCCATGAATATCTTATTTCTGTTCAAATTAACATGTGATAGCTCCCCTGCTACTACTTCTTCTACCTCAGGGAATAAAGCAGATGTACCCAAGAGTAAGAGAGAATAAGGAATCATGTGGAAATGCCACATTTCCTCTCTCAATGAGGAAAAGGAAGGGGGAGAGACAGGGAGCAGGGAGAGAGGAGTCGTGGGGAGGTTGAAGCCACAGATGGAGCACGCTTGTTTTTAATGGTGACACCCCAACTAAGGGATTCGGCGGAGGCGTGGGGGAAACTCAGCAAGAAGTGAGGAGGACGTGCGTCTGGGTGGGACTGGGCAAGGAAGACTTGCGGGATCCTTGGGTACGGGTGGTTTCTGCCCATTAGGGCTGGTGTAGCTGTGGAGGACGGCCTTGACACCGAGCCTTCCCCTAGATGAGACTGGAGCAAGGACAAGTCATTGGTGGAGATCAAACCTCCCTCCAACCGTGCCCCCTCCACCACTTTGACAGCTCTTTATTTGTTGGACGGACCTCCAGGGCAGGGCTTTTCAAAGCTTGTCTGGAACCTTTCTTGGAAGAAAGCTCTGACTCAGACTAATTGGAGAAGTAAAATGAGGTTGAATCAGGGGTCTTCCAAAGCCCTTCTAGCTCTACGAGACTTGGAGCCTCAAATGTGTTAGGCCCCAGCGTGAGTTGGCTGCTCTTCCCCTCACGCACACCCATGGTTGTGATTCTCCCTTCCCAAGAGTTAAGAAACCCTCAGGAATTGATGAGCTTAGCAAAGCAGAAGGAGGAGAAATGCTTACCTGGGTATAGAGCTGCCTACTCGCTAGTGGCCTCCTGGGTCACCAATATGGGCTCCTTCCCCTCTTTGAGAGTCATCTTAGCCCAGGGATGGCTTGGTAGCTAAAGCAGGGTGTGGGGGCCTCCACCACATGCCCTCTGCCATGCTATAATTCTTTCCACTTTCATCCCACCATGCCCTATCCCTACCCCTTCAGAATCCTGTGGTGGCTCCCTGGAGCCTTATGTGGCAGGCTGATATTGGATGGTCAGTAAATGCTGGTTTGGTCAAGTTCCAAACCCAGTGCCTGGCATTCAGAGCCATTTATAGTCTGGTCTGGCCCTACCATTTCATTTTATTTCCCCCTCCTCTCTGGCATACATCCAGTGTCCCCCTCTGATTGGGCTTCCCCATGCTATCTCATCCACCTCCATGTCTTGGCTAGTATGGAATCCCACATCCGAATCATCCTTCCTCTCCACGTCTCCACCCATGGATCACCTACTCTTCAATTCCCAGCTTGTGTTCCATTCCCTCCGTACACCTCTCTCTACCTGCCCTTGCCCAGTGATCTTCCTTTTCTCTGTGGCCACCACACAGTTCCCTAGTGCCTCACACATGACTGTCTGACGTTGGTCCATGCTGACATAGATGGATGGATGGATGTACAGAGGGTGAATCTTCAGAGTGAACGATAGCTCGGTGCAGCTCTCTCTTGCATGTGCTTCTTATGCTAACAAATTTTGCAAAGTATGTGCTCACTTAATATTTGTTGAATGCCTTTATCCCTTACCTACATCTCTGTTCTTTCCTACTCAAATGAGCATTTGGTGAATGCCAAACAAATCGAAAAGTGTACAGCTCAATGAGTTTTCACAAAACTAATATACTGGTGCAGTCACACCGAGATCAGGGAAGGGAACATTGTCACTGCCCAAGAGCTCCACTTCTGCACCCTTGTCCCCAAAGGGAGCCACTAGCCTGGCTTGTGTCACATCGTAAAGTTTATATCAATGAAATCATTTTCTCCTGTGTCTGCTTCTTTCACTTAGTGTTATGTTCAAGTGATAGAATATGAGTAAATCATGGGTCTTGGCTTTCAAGGAGCTCGTAATCTAGTGGTGAATTCCTGGAATTTAGTCCAAACTCCTTCACTATTTTCAGCATCTGACCTAAGGCCACACATCCTTGGAGTACCCTTCTTTGGGTCTGTTTCTTTCCCCCCTCCTTTTATGGAGTCAGAGGACTGAGATCCTGTGAGCCAGGTCCTTGGACTATCCTCAGCATGTCTTACCTTTATTAAATACTGAAATCACCTCAATGGGTAATTTAATATCAGAAGTCTTCAAAAATGTTATTCAGTTCTTGAAATTTACATTTGAGATTATATTTACCAACTGCCTCCTCTCGCTCCCAAGATTTTCTGTTACATTCTCTGTAGATTTTTTGAATTACAGTGTTTTCCTCCCGCGGGGCTTAATGGGACAATCTAGGGGGAAGGGAAGGACAGTGCGTTCTTTTAGGTGAGACTGGGGACTCTGATGAGGAATTAGCCTCCCCACTTCCATTTCACTGCTCTCCTTCGACTGGCATCTCTGTGCCTGCTCCGGGAGCTTCCAGAGACCCTGGTGAGAATGTGGGTGTCCTGAGGGAGTTTCTGCCCGTCATGACATTCTTCTGAGAAGTGAAGGGGCTGCCAAGGCTGCCTCCTCCCCAGCCTCCCCTGCTCCACCTTTCTGAGCACTTCTGTCCCCTCTCCCTCAGCGAGTGCCTGCAGAGGAGATCACCTATGAGACACTAAAGAAGGCCATTGGTAAGTGGGAGGCCCCAGGGGCCTCCAGTTGGAGGGGAAGTTTGGATGGGAGGTCGGGTGGGTGCTGGGAATGCGTGTGGGTGTGTGCAGCCCCATCTGCTGCCCTCCCCAGTGTGTTTCAGCACAGATGTGAGGGGAGAGCTGGGTGGCTTCCTCTAAATACATCACAACTACCAAAACTGCAATTAAAAATCCCGCTGTCCTGATGGGGATCAATGTGTATCCTGTCAGGCAACCCTTTTTCTACTGACAGCTGCCTTTAAAAGGAATCCATTGAGGGTTACAGTCAGTTAGGTAAAAAGCAACTTTGTATAAATACTTTGACTATTTTGTGGTAGATTTTGATACAAAAGAACAAGTTGGCCAATGAAAGATATTAAAAACAAATCGTATTAATATTTATTGCAATAGATTTTAAAATGCAGAATTACTTCATCTGTCTGGGTTATTGGGCAATGAAAATTCCAAGTAGAATTTTTCTGATAACTGATGAGAAATTGTGCCTTCAAATGCCAAACCTTTTTATTTTTGTTCTCTTCGGTGGTACTCTTCCTGAATGTGCACACTGTTTTGCCTTCTTTTTTGGTTTTTTAAAGATTTTATTTTTCCTTTTTCTTCCCAAAGTCCCCCAGTACACAGTTGTGTATTTTTAGTTGTGGGTCCTTCTAGTTGTGGCACGTGGGATGCCACCTCAGCATGGCTTGATGAGTGGTGCCATGTCCGCACCCAGGATCCGAACTGGCGAAACCCTGGGACACCAAAGCGGAGCACATGAACTTAACCACTCAGCCACGGGGCCAGCCCCTGCTTTGCCTTCTTGAACAAAGTGTGATGAACATACTTGACACTCCCTGTTTTTTTTGCTAGCTCATTTTGGATACCAAGAGGAATATGTAGAAGCCTTAAACTAAATGACCTCAGGCTGCTCTGCCATAGGGGTTCCATGTTGGCATTTCCATTATTGATGTCCCTTTTCGAATTACCTCCAGAGTACTTTCTGTTTCAGGAACTTCCATTCAAGCGTCCTAGTGGCAATGCAGTTTCTTGGGGCTTTAAAAGCTCAGCTTAAGGGTCCACTTAACTAGTTCTCAAATGCTTACACAAGGAAGGGGGCTGAGCGCTCAGGCAGAAGTCTAGCCCTCCTGGGGCCAAGTGATGGCACCACACCTTCCATGCCACCATGCCCTGCTCATCAGCAGAGGGAAGGCTTGAGCTGCAATTACAGACAGTGCTCCCCTTGGGGAGTCCACCCATCTTTCCGTCTTCTCAGTCTGTGCTCCAGCCTCAGTGGGGCGGGACCTCCGGGCTCACCCAGCTCTCTGTGCTGCAGTGGACAGTGTGGCAGTGGAGGAGCAGGAGCGTGAACGGCGGAGGCAGGTTGTGGAGAAGTTCCAGAAGGCACCCTTTGAAGAGATTGCAGCACACTGTGGGGCCCGGGTAAGTGAGGCATAACAGGGGCGAGTCCTTGGGGACCAATGGGACACTGAATTTGGGTCCAGGGCAGGACTGAGTTTCTAGGAGATCTTGGCACTTTTGTCACCCAGAAGTTAGGGTTTAGATCCCAACAGTGCCCTGGCATTACATTGAGCCAAATGAGCCAAAAGACTTGGCTATTAGTCATACACTCCTCCAGACCTCACAATATTCACAGAAGGAAGAAGCCCTGACCTCGGGAGCTTCTGTATCAAACAGACAGATGAGGAGGAGGATGATGATGATTATTAAATTTTGCTGAGGAAGATTCGCCCTGAGCTAACACTTGTTGCCAATCTTCCTCTTTTTTTCTTTTTTGTATGAGCCACCACCACACCATGGCCACTAACAGACGAGTGGTGCAGGTCCATGCCCAGGATCCAAACCCAGGCTGCCCAAGTGGAGCACGCCAAACTTAACCACTAGGCCACTAGGGCTGGCCCTCAAACAGACAGATTATAATAATTATAATAGCAAGTTCAAAATAGCACTTACTGTGCACCAGAGCATCTTACATTTATTAGCTTATTTCATTCTTGTGACAACTCTGCGAGGTTGGTGCCATTATGATCACCATGTTACAGAGCGATGGGGAAGGAGCCATGGCCAGTGTTTGCAACGGGGCATGCTTCCAACCAGGGATCCTGCAGGAGAATGGAACAACCTGGCTTGGAAAAGAGATCAAAAAGAGAGGGTGCCAGACAAGTAGGAGGAAGGACACAGGTCTACACTTAAGGGAACAGCACAAACATTTCTTGAAACTGATTATTTGCCAAGATGTGTTAGTCACAGTTTCCATCTTAGCAACAATGAAACATAATTGTAAACATCCAAAATGTACAAATAACTTTTATTGTACTTTTTCCTCTCAATAAAAATACGTGTAATTTTCTTTTCTTTTACATATACAATATATATATTTCCAATATATTTCTTTTTCTATTGCAGTAACATTGGTTTATAACATTATACTATACATATATTTCTAATATATTATAATAATTATCTAATAATATAGATAAATACACGTAAGTGTAATCCAGATTTTTCTGGGCCTATAGTGTCCTAACCTCTTGTTCCATCTTAAGAGGTAGACACTGCTCATTTCCTGAGCTCAGAGTTGAGGTCCAGTTACTGAAGACACGCACAGTCTGACTCTCCGTGTACATGGACTTAGTTGGAGCCAGAAGGACCAGAGAAAGCATCTTCCCTAACCCACCAGTTTTGCACAGCTGCTCTTTGGGAGTTAAGGAAAGAGCTGGAACCAGCTCTGAGCCTCCTGACTCCATGCCCAGCAGGCCCTACTGCCCCACTGGAGGAGCTGAGTGGCTCTGCCGGATCTGAAGCCACAGTCAGGGTCCATGGATCAATGCTGGAAAGGAGCTCACAGCAGCTCCCTTCCGAAGGCTGCAGCTGCCCTGCACCTCCAGCACGTGCCCTGGCCAGGCGGGCTGTGAGTCAGCTGGCCGAGGTGCCGGGAGCCCCCAGCTCACTTTCCCTCTGTTTGTGTCTAGGCATCACTGCTGCAGAGCAAACTCAATCAGATCTTTGAAATCACCATCCGGTAAGTGGCAGCCCTGGGCAGGGGACCCCTACCTCTGTGGCCCAGCATTGGGAATCCTCCTGAATCCTCCCCTCACACCTGTTTCAGTCCTTCCTCCTACCAGCCCCTGTCTCCAGGGCTGGAGTCAGGCACCAACTCTCCCCAGACAAGGAAACAGAAACTAGAGAGAGAGAGAGCCTGGAAAAGAGCCAGGAGTCCTTGTGTCTCAGGCTTGTGCTTTACCTTCTAAAGCAACAGTGTTAATGGAGAGCCTGCAATGAAGCTTGATGTTCAGCTGTAGATTCTAGAACTTGAAACCTGGGAACCCACAGAGTGACAAAGTCTCTGGTCCCTGCCTAAAGAGAAACCTAAATCAGCTGCTCTGTTTGGTGGCATGGGGTGGGACCCCAGAACCCCCTTCATGTCTTTCTCATCCATATGTTCCTGCCCCAGGCCCCCCCCAAGCCCATCAGGAACCATCACCGCAGCCTACGGCCAGCCCCAGAACCACTCCATCCCTGTCTACGAGATGAAGTTTCCTGATCTGTGTGTATACTGAATTTCAAGAGACAGAGCTACTCGGAGGGGTGGGGTCTGAGGGAGGGGCTCGCCCTCACACCTACCCCTACAACATGGAAATCTAACTGGGATCTCAGAGAAAAAGCACCTGGGATGGCAGCACCTCCCCAACTTAAGCAAGGTGGAGCCTCAGGCCCCCCTGGGCCCTCTCGCTTCCTCCTCGTCTTCCCTGAGGGAGAGCCGGCCACCTGCCCCTCTGGGGCCAATAAGCATCTCACCTGCACCCTTTGTCTCCTCCTTTGTGTCAGCCAGGGGCCAAGAATCGTGGGGGCTCTCCAGAGAGAGGCGAAGGTCCCAAGAAGCTCCTACTTTGTGTAGCAAGTGAAGGGCTTTCGTGGGGATGTGACAGGGTAGGGGGCACCGCTGCCATTCTCCCAAGAGGGAACTAGACGGACACACAGTTGGTCAAAGGAAGCCACAGATTGCCATCAGAAGGAAGCAAGGCAAGCTCCTCTTGTAAAGCAGTGGCGTCTGAGAGCTGGAAGATGGACCGGCTGCTCTCCTCCAAGCATCCCCTCCCTCCTTCCCCACTGGAGGATCCAAAGGCCCTTAAGTCTCTGGTGTCTCTTCCACTCTCCTGCTCACCCTACCAGTTGTCTCTCCGTGATTCTTTCTATTATTAGTTAATGGTGAGCCCTTAACACAAGAGCTGGCATAGAGACACCATGGGGGACAGCGATAAAGGGGGCTGGCTCTCCACAGGCTGGGGGCTGGGTGGCTGGGCCAGGGAGCATCAGTGTGGGCCTGCCTCCTGTAGAGGAGCAGCAGGCCGGCAAGGCCACGTCCTTCTGTAGCATCTCCTCACCTCCTTTGTTCACAGGGAGCTGGTTGGGCCTGCCTGTGGTTCTCTCCCTTCTAGATGTTTCTCTGAGTTGAATTCTCTCTCTCTGATGCTCTGATTCCTGAGGATCCCAACTTGTTTCTACAGCCTGTGGGTTGAGGGAGGACAGCACAAGGTAATCTGGTTCTAGATGACTCAAAAGGAGGAGGAGCTGCAGGGGCCCCAGGCCTGCCCACATCACCTCCTATGGAAGAGGCTTGGGCCTGGTTGGGTGGGGAGCTGGGGAGGAAAGCTGGGGGAGGAGTAGCTCTTTGTGGCTCAAGGATGTCAGAAGTCAACCTTTTGGATGTCTCATTCGAGGAAAGAAGGATCCAGCACCTAATACCGGAATGATCTCTTCACTCTTTGGACAGAGCCTGGACGTCTGTGCCAACTCTCCAAGCTTGAGGCCTGGGGAGAGGTGGGGGAGACCCTGTGGGTTCTGGGTTCTCACTCTCCCGTGTGCCGTCTGCCCGTGTGCGGAGGAGGAACTCTGGCAGAGCCAGAGGCCTTTTGCTGCGCCCTCTCTGCTTCCCCATCTCATCCCCGCTCCGGGGGCCTTTATGCCTCCAGAGCCACCTCCGGCACAACCTCACCGGGGCCTCCTCCCGTGGCAGCACCCTATGGTCCAAAATAGCCCTTTTCCCCTTTTCCAGTCAGACTTCCCACAACTTTTCTGAGCAGACATAACTCACAGTAAGGTGTGAATGGTCAAATGATTCCTCCCTGGGGAATTTACTTTTTAAAAAGCGGGAGGGTGAGTAGAATTCTTGACCCAAATGATCCCTTTTGAGGATACAATTTTTGGCAGTGTGGGGTGGGGTCAGAAGCAGGCTTTTCTGCCAGGGGGAGGGCAGGCTTCTTGGGACACCTGGGGTCACACTCCTGCACCTGGCCCTGCACAGATGCACTGTGAAAGCCTGATTATTAGAACAGAGAGGGGTATTTTCCCAAACTGGGAGAACCTTAACATACGCATTTTCCCACTACATGTTCAATAAATTTCTTGGATGGGGGGCTATCTCACCTTTGTTCCTGTAGTTCCCACTCTTGGTCACTGCCTCTGTGCCATGGGCCTGTGTCTTCCAGATGGCCTGCGTGACTACAGGGCCCAGGGAGCCCAGCTCTGTGCTACCCCCGCCCCCCACTGACCCCCAGCTTTTTGCTGTGCTCTGGCATTTGGCTAATGCTCAACCCAACTTTACAAGCATGAACTCAGATTTCTTTTTACTTTAATATCTCTTTATTAAAAAACCAATTTTAAAATAATTTGAGACAAACTTGAAAGCAAATAACCTCTGGAAGAAACGTTACAGGAAATCTAAATCTTGAGCCACAAACACGTCTTTCCTCACTGGATCTTTCCATCTTTATCCCTGCCTGGCTTTGATGACAAACCCTGTTTCTTGTGCCTACTTGACTTTAGGGTCCACCCTATGGCAACTGCCCCCTGACCACCGCCCTCGGGGCCCAGCTTCTGGGACTTGAGAGTCATGGCGCTGGAGCCTCTTTCTAGAACCAGAGACCTGCAGGTTCTTTCAGCTGTCTCCCCCTCAGCCCCACCCTGGGAACCGTGAGGAAAGAGGTGCAGGATTCCCATTCTTCACACGCTCAATGCTGGCTCCTCTGCTTCTGTCCAGAGCAGCTCTTTCTTTACATCACGTTGCTTAGCAAAGATGTGCTTATTTTGGAGAACTGGCTATTTTTTGAGCACCCACCCTCTCCTCAGTTTCAGCTTACACTCGGTAGAATATTAGGTTGCCTGCTGACATGGAGTAGAACCTGGGTTCTGGCTAAATGTGCCTCAGAGTCAGAAAGTTTAAGGTGCATGTTAACGTGAACAGACATTTAGATGATAGGTTAAGCAGTCTCCTTCACCCGCCACAAGTCCTGGGAGAGAGGCAAAGCAGAGTTTGGTGGGTGCCCAGGCCCCGGTCCAGTGTCGCTGCTTCCTGCTTTGCATGCCGTCTGGAGTCTGGCAGCACTGTGCAATGTGACTGACCCTTTTTGCTCCCCTTCTCTGTTGTGATTTTGAGCTCAGAGGAGCCAGCAAGCCCATCCAGATCAGCTGCTCCCCGAAGCCACTGAGGACTCTTGCTTCATGGGCAAGGGGTAGGGTTGGCTAGTGCTCTGCTGAAAGAACTTAATAGGCATGAATGTATTTGAGATTTGAAAGTTCTATTAATTTGGTTGAGTCACCTAAGTGTGTAAGAAGCAGGTCAGCAGAAGGCACCAATGCAATCCTGGAGGCTCCTTCTGTTTTCCTTGCAGTGGGGTCACCAGTGCCCTGTGTCTCTTCACATTTCCTTTCTCTGAAAAGTAGAAATAAGTGGTTTCTTGACTCCTAAACACCTCCTCGCCAGAGAAGGAGCCTGAGCAGGTCAGAAGAAGAACTAGAAAAGCCCTCAGATGCTCTCCTCTGTCCCCCTCCATCTCGTACACAAACATAGATGGAAGAGCAGTGAAAAGTGGGGCTGGGACTATCTAAAGTGCTTGAAGAGGCTCAAGGGTCATATACGCGCTGCCCTTTGCTTGGGTGTTCTGGGTCCCAGAGGACATGTTCCAGCTGGCCTAAGAACCAGAACAGCCTTGGGGTACCTTTAAATGGCTCAAAGGCCAGACCTCTTGGCTTCTTTGGGGTCCCCTGGGTCAGAATACCTTCCAGTTACTCTTCCATTGTCCAGGCCTTCTGACCTGGGTACAGAGAGTATCATTGAGAAGTGAGGCTGTTTCTCCCAGTTCCTCTTCATGACCATAAAATGGCAGCTGGCCACCTAGGGGCCTGTGGGAAAGGACTAGACCCGAGCTGTTAGGCTGAATATTATGTTTGAAGGTAGACAGGGAGATCGGCTCATGGGGCAGGCCACGCCACTTCCCTTGACCCATTGACCTTGCTGAAATAAGGCATTTTCCTTCCATCTGGGGAGACAGTTTAGGGCAGTGAGTTGCTTCTTCATCCCACTAACCCTAGAAATCTTCAGGTTAAGGTGACCCCTTGTCTCAAATCTGGCATAGGTCTGAAGACTGCAGAAGGATGGTCACAATAGGCCTGGCCAGCTGGGGAAGTGGGGAGAAGTCACGGGGGCTGTGGGAGAGGCTCTGTGGTCTGTTGGAGCCAGATGGCAGTTCTGTGTGCTCTCTTTCAGCTTCAGCCAGGTTGACCAGGTCTTTTCTCCTTCAGGGGACCTTGAGGCCTCAGCCCATCATCTTCCTCTTTAAGCTCTTCCTCCGTGACTGTTGATTCCGGCCTGTGGAGTGCAGAGCTGTAAATCCACAAATGCTGCAGCTCACACCTTATAAGTTGTCTGTGTCCATTTAGACCTTCATGACCTGGCTGAGCGTGTGTGTGCCCGTGTGTGTGCATGTGTGTGTAATGTAGTCCATAGTTGACAATGTATGTATATAATAGCTGACGTATTTATATGGGAGCGCAGAATTAGTGCCTGTGGCTGTTTTCTGTATTTGAAATTCATTGAATCAAATTAGTTTTAAGGAAGGGGAAAGAGGTGTGGGGGAGTGTAGGAAGAAGGACTCTTAGTAAGATCATTCTTCACCACTATTAGTCGGGATTTCCCAATGAGCCTTCATGATGCCCTTTTCAAATAAATGTTAATGTTGTCACCACATGGTTGTCTCTTTTATTTCTTTAGAGTAAATGGTTTTTTGAGATGCAAACAGGATCTGAAAATACCAACATTAACCGCTGACATTTAGCCACCCACTACCTGCCATTACTTCGCTTGCCTCAAAAGGAAGGATGGTAGGGAAAGGATGCTACCAAGATGTAAACTTGAGGCCCAGTGTTCCCAGCATGGGAGCATCCTCTGATGGGAAGGCCTGGGCCATTTCGTCACTGTAGTGGCTGGAATCTAGCCCCATTTCGTGTGACCCACACTGGGGGAGACTTATCTTAGGAGTCTGACTTTCTGATTCAGGACTTCCCAGGGTGCACTCCAGTTTTCTTTAATTTTGAACTCACAGAGCATCAAGATATGGGGACATATATGTAAGTGCCATATACAGGTGTTTCCCAGCTAGCTTTGATCTATACTGTCCACTGGTGTGTCTAATGCAGTTGACATGTATGTGTGCATGTCTGTGTATATAAGTATCTGTGAGTCTCTTTTGAATTGTGTGTGGCTGCAAACCCATGACCCCAGCATTGTGAAAACACCATAGGGACATACAAAAGAAACACAACCCCTGGTCTATGTGCTTGCAGAAGGTAGAGTTTCCCAGAGAGGAGAGCAGAAGACATATGTGCAGCAAGAAACTGTGTCCTCCCGTCAGGAGGGCTGCCTGCAGAAACACTGAAAATGAGCAGGCTCAGCTGGAAGAGATCACAAATTTCCCAGTGGAAGTGGACTTGAGCCTAGGCTCATGTTGAAAAAAGGATGACATTCACAATGGTGGGGGAAGGTGGGGGATTCCAGGCCGAGGATGAGACAAGAAGAGTGAGCAAGACCAGTAGTGGAAACAGGGTTTGGAAAGAAAGGTGAACTTTGTTGATAAAGGCCCTGCATGCCATGCCGTGTAGTGTTGAATTGATAGAAAATTGGAGTTGGGTGACTTTTTTTGCTGAGGAAGATTCTCCCTGAGCTAATATCTGTTGCCAATCTATCTTCTTTTTGTATGTGATCCGGTACCAGCATAGCGTAGGTCCACACCCAGGAACTGAACCCAGGCCGCCACATGGAGTGTGCTGGACTTAACCACTAGGCCACCGGGGCTAGCCCTGGGGTGACCTTTTTGGCTCTTGAGCCAGGGAATGTGGAGAAAGCAAGATTCTGTATGCATTAATATGAAGAATTTATGTCCGATGGGTTATGGAGGAGAGTGACTGGAAACAAGGATTGTTTCCAGTTGCTTAAGAAGCTGTTCGATAGTGGAGGCCTGAGCAGGGAGCACTGAGGATGAGCAACACCAGGAGAGAGCTTGAGAGAGCAAGGGGGAAAAGATAGAGGACTTCAAGACTTGAGCCCAAGGGACTGGAAGAAGCATCTGTGTATATTGCGTTGTATTTACACAGATGTGTCTCCATGGCTGTGTGTCTGTGTGGGCGAGAACTTGTGTTTGAAAATACTTGCCAGTAGCCTGGGAGTGCAGTCAAATCTGAGCTAATGCCAACCCTCGGCTCTCACACACAGCTTCTCAGTGATAAAAAAGATCACACCCATTTTCTCAGTTCTCACAATAGCCCTCATGCTGGGGAGGGGTGGATGAGAGAACTAAATCTTGGAGAAGTTCCTTCAGAGACTCGCCTAAGGTCACAGATAGCTACAGATGCAGGGAGGCGTCACCACAGCTCGCCACCTCACAGCCCAGAGAGCCCTCCCAGTTGCGGGTGGGCTTCATCAATGTTGGGCTGGCTTTTGGAGCTGGACCAGAGCCAGGGTGGCTCCTGTAGGAATCCTCCCTACTGACGCATCTGCTAGCTGAGCAGTCTTCCCACCCAAGGGAGGGTGGGAAATGTAGCCACCCTGAGCCATCACCCAAACTATTTGCCCCCTTGAAGACCCATTTATGGGAGGGGAGTACATTTTCCTTCCATTCCTACTATGTCCCATGTGACAGACTCCCACTGGGTCACATGGAAACCATTATGTCTCGCCTCCAATATATTTTGCTCTTTGTCTGACTCATATATATTTTAACTGTATTCACCCAGTCACCATTCAAAGTCAGAGTCAGATGTGAAACTTGAAAGGTTTTATTTACTAACTACACACAGCTTAAACAGGCCGAGTATCTGCCGCTGTCACCGCCCGGGCTGCGAGGCGGCAGGAGGGCAGGCGAGGAGCGGGGACTTCGGGCCGACTTCCGGGGAGAGCAGCCCGGGCCCGCCGCGCCCTCACTGGCCCTTCTTGTGGGCGTTCTTGATGATGGCGTTTTTGAACAGCGTCACCAGGGGCGTCTGGCTCTTCTCGGAGCTCATGAAGCCGCCGTAGCGCTTGTCCTTGCGCGGGCTGCCCCAGCGGAAGTGCTCCATTTTATAGGGCCCCTCGTCCTTCTTCTCCGCCGCCTCGGCCTCCGCCACCAGGCTGTACCCCAGCTCGGCGCGGGCCGCCGCGCCCTCGGGCCGCTCCCCGGCCAGCTCCCTCTTGAACTCCAGGGGGAAGGCCTCGGCCGACTCGTCCTCGGCGCCGTTGGGGTACACCTTCACCGGGCGCCGCTTCTTGCCCACCGGCTTGCCCCAGCGGAAGTGCTCCATGGAGTAGGAGCGCTTGCCCTCGCGCGGGCCCGCCTCGCCGCCATCGCCGCCGTCGCCGCGGGGCCCGGGGCCGCCCAGCACCACCACCTCCTCCTCCTCGCGCTTCTGGCTCGCGCCGCCGCCGCTGCTGCTGTTCCGGCGGCCGAAGCGGTCCCAGCGGAAGTGGCCCATGACGTACTTCCGGGGGTTCTCGGTCAGCGGCTGCTCCTCGCCGTTGCCGGGGAACACGGGCGTCTCAGCGGAGAGGTCGATCTTGCAGGCCCGGATGCAGGCCTGCGGGAGAGCGGGCGCTTGAGGGCCACCCCGCCCCGCAGCCCCCGCGTTGCGCCCGGGCCCTCCGTTCCCCGTGCCCTCTCTACGTGCTGGCCGGGAACGCGGGGCTTGGGCTGCAGTGGCTCCTCTGCCCAGGCCGCCGGCTGTCCCCGCCTGCTTGGCCCTCACGGACATCTGAGACTCAGCTTGGGCATCGCCCCCTTTGTCCCCTGTAGCCCTTGACACTTCTGTCCCGCAGCTACCACAAAACCCCCCTCCCACTCCGTGGTTTCCTTGGCCCATAGCTTTTGTGAGCAGGGTCACCGTCTTCCCGTTATACGTCTGATACATGGGAATTAAATGGCCAGTGGGTGCTGGTTGTTGGGACTTAAGGAATATTGAATAAATAAATATGGTTCAGTTTGAGTCTGGGAGGGACACTGGCCTGAAATTTGGGGGAGAATCTCCCCAGGTGGGAGAAGTAGAAGTCTGGCTTCTAGGACCTGTATTTTCAATAAGGCCTCAACCTTACCCCAGTGATCTGCAAACCTACCTCATGCCCTAGCCCAGCCGTCTCCCTGTACCATGCCTCAAAACTTTCCCACGCCCATCCGGCACTTTCTCTGGTACTTTCAAGACTTCTGAGCTGATTCTGTACTTTCCCCAATCAGTGAGCCCTGGGAGGGGGTGGTTTACTTCCCTGTCATCTCATCTCATGACTCTCAAGAGTCATCCAAGAGTCTCTTGGATCTCTCTAAACTAGAACTCACAGAAGTTCCCTGGCTTCATTGTTTCTGTTTCATATTCCACCTGCAACCTGCTCTGTGTTTTTGAGAAAGTCTCTCTCTACACCTTAACTCAGGCTCTCCAGTGACAAAAAACAGAATGTAGCGATGTGTGTTCCACCCTCCCTAGGCAGGTGCTGGCAGCAGGATGGAACTCAGTCACTAACACCAGCAGTCTGTCTTTTAGTCCTTGCTTGGTATCATTGCTCATTTATGCCTCCCAATACGCATGTGCACACACACACCCCCTGTCGTGACCTGGAGGGAATTCCAGCCTGGCACAAAGGGCCTTTACATGCTTCTGGAAAGGCTGCAAGAAGGTCAGTCCTCCAGAAGAAGCATGAGACATTTGGCACCAGTTAGAGGAAAATGGCACCTGGGTTTTCCTTCTCCCTCTAGGGGTGATTTGCGGTGCTACCTCGCTGGGTTTGTAACTGGTAGTAGATAGAAAGGGAAGAAAAATGGAATGAAGATGGCAAGTGATATGAGGTTATTTAAAAAGGGATAATTTGGGGGCTAAAAGATTGAAAATGTAAGATTGAGGGATAAATTATTGTCATTACTGTTATTAGTATTGTTATTATTATTTTTATGGCACTATCTCTAAATAGCTTAAATGGAGTGGGGTCTCCATACAAGAAGACAGGGCAAGAAGCAAAGATAATCACGCAGAAATTGTGGACCAGACCCATCTGGTCCTGCTTCCTGAAGCTGCTTCCTCCCCTCCTTGACCTAATTCTGACTTCACCCTAGAGGTCTGTTCCTGCCCTGGGTTGAGTTATCCATGTCTCTGGGAATGAATCCAAACCCATTTCTCTTGTACTGTCCCAGCCCCAGCCCCAGTCCCATCTGATGCCCAAACAAGATGGCACTCATGGCCCACATACCAGCAGGTTACTTTCCGTGGTGAGGTCCTGACACTGGCTGCTCTCCAGGCACCAGCCACGCACTTCCACAGAAGCCTGAAGCAGCAGGGCCAGCAGCAGGGCCCCCGAGCGGCTGCCGCACGATCTCGGCATCTTGCAGGCAGGCTGAGGCTCTGCAGAGGCAAACAAGATTGGTGGGACCCCTGCAAGGAGCAGAACAATGTTGGCCACTCACCAGGAAGGACTGTGAGCCAACATTAACAACACCCTCACTTGTGGAGCTCAAGGCTTTTTGAGGACAGGAGCAGTTCAAGAAAGTTGGTGTTCAGGGTGGTGGTGTGAGCTGTGGTAGAGAGGAGGGAGGCGGGACCTGGGTGAACTATGCGCAATTTCCCCCTTATCTCATGTTAAAAATCAGATCCCAAAGGAGATTAGGGCTGGAAGCTATTTTGGGGGTCATTTTGTCCAGCCTGTTATTTAAGAGATGGGGAAACTGTGGCCCAGAGAGAGAC